TTTTATTTGGATTATATAGTTTAGTTTCAGTTTTAATTAAAGGTTAGCAGAATTAAAGGGGTCATGATGTATTTATTTATTTTTTTTCAATTTTTTCCTTTCTCTTTGGAGTGTTACAAGCTCTTGGTGCATAAAGATCTGTAAAGTTGCAAAGACTAAAGTCTCAAATCCGAAGAGATACTCTTTATAGAAGTTGAGTCAACCACTCCTACCTAAAATGGCTGATGTGGTGCATTTTATTGCTTTTTACAGCCTGAAGGAGTTGAACGGATCTTCACCCAGAGTTGGTTATTGTGTCCAAAGGGTTTGTTTGCACTCAGTGACTTTCTAAATGCATTCTCCACCAGCGAACGCACTCAGTGACATTCTAAATGTGTTCTCCCTCTACCAGCGAACTGTAACCTAGCACTCTCTGCTGATCCGTTCTGTTTGGTCCACAGGAAGTGTCCTTTCAGAAGACGTGTCTCTGACGTTTCCAACAAATGTGATCCAGGGATCAGCCAAGTGCTCAGTTTCAGTCCTTGGTGAGGCTTTTCATTAAATGGACACTGCTAGTTTCAAAAAATTACTGTTTGGTTTCTGATGGCTTTTTGGTTTGACCTCGTTTTCTTTCTCTTAGGGGACATAATGGGTCGTGCGCTAAAGAATCTTGATAACTTGTTACAGTCATCTGGCTGTGGAGAACAAAATATGATCGTTCTTGCTCCCAATATTTACATCCTCCAGTACCTGGAAGTCACTGGTCAGCTCACCCCAACCATCCGACAGACTGCCATTGGTTACCTTCAGAGCGGTACAGATTGTCAGGATTGGCATTACACATGATGCACTTGACTTGTAGGATTTGACAAAGTTCCCTTATTTTTTTAAACTCTTTAACAGGTTACCAAGGACAATTGAACTACAGGCACAGTGATGGTTCATACAGCACGTTTGGTTACGATGCATCCAATACATGGTGCGTTTTCATGCTGTTCTTGTATTGTGCGTCATTGAATTGGGTTGTAATGAGACTTTTCATGGCCAGGTTGACCACCTTCGTCATGAGGTCTTTTGGCCTAGCAAGGCGTTTCATCTTCATTGATCCCAGTGTCCTCCAGAGCGCAAAGGATTGGCTGATCAGCAAGCAGGGTTCAGATGGCTGTTTATGCAGCAGGGAACTCTGTACCACAATGCCATGAAGGTGTGCGTCATGTTTCTTTAAATGTGCCGTAACTTGTCGTAGCCTGACCTTAATCGTTATGCTGCTCCGTTTTAGGGTGGTGTTGGTGATAACGTGACCATGACCGGCTACGTTGTTGCGTCGCTGCTAGAACTAGGTGTTCTTGTCACGGTAAAAACATGCCTACCAGTAGTTAGAAGAGCTCCTTGAAGAGGACTTTCCGGTTATGTAGTCTGACATTTGCTTTGCTTTCAGGATCCCATCATCACCAAAG